AAAAACAAATTACTTTTGAATCTTTATGTTAAGATGATCATGCATCTTCCTAAAACCCAGAAGATTCTTAACAGGCTTTGGCTAAATCCAATAGAAATTTTTCTCCAAGTTTGCCATGGACAAGAAGAACAATAAAATATATAGCAAATGAAAGCTTAAAAGTAAACAAAAAATAATTATAAACATATATCTCCTTGTGTGAATATTCTCTCTGAGTTTATTTCTTTCAATTTAAATTGATTATGCACAGACAATACAACTGAATTCAATCATTACAATCTCATAACACTGTGAAGTAAAAGGTAATAGCTATAGATTAAAAACATCCAAAAAGATGTTCTACAAGACAACTATGTAATGGAGGTACATATCCTGCACCAAGACAAAAGACTGGAAAGAAAAGCAAAAGATTCTTCCATCAAGTGGCTTGAGATAAGAGTCAAAACAAATAAGATTGATTGGGACACAAACTGCCAGCAGGACAAGGCAGCAGCAAGATCATGGAAGAAACAGACACGGCCTATTGACATTCACATATTAGCTCTCAATACAGGTGGAGAGTCAAAAAATAAATTCCAATCATAAAAAATAATTCCTATCATATAGTTATTGACCAAAACCAGGGCCCACAACTCTGGTTGATAATTCAGACTGAGGCCTGAGAAGGATAGGAAGCATTATAATGATCAAACATTTACCTAAGCATCCTCCTAAGATTTAAGTGCTTTCCTTGTGCAGATGGTTTGACAGTTCCATGTTCATGAGTCTCTGTGGTACTTGCTGTCTGGTTACATTGGTACCTACTGCAGAACCATCCTAAGCCTGTCCTAAACCACTGCCTACCAAAAGAACAGCAACATTTCTGACACCTTTTTATCTCCTGCTCCCCTGAGTGCACTGAGACCTTAATTACCCTGATCAGCTTCACTTGGGAGCTCCTTCCAAGCCTTCTACTCATAGGCCCAGGAACACAACTGCAGCTCAGACCAACACCTTCAGTCTCTTGTAAAGCTATAGGGGAGGTGTGTCCCTCTCCAGTGTTGTCACAGCCGTGCCTCTACTTGGTCATGAACCCTACTCATCCTGGCCTGTGGACCAGTTTCACCCTTTGACCTTGGATCTCCCTTGTCACTGTGAACGTCCCCTGATGATCACTGGGCTGTATCTGCCTATTCCTTCTGATACTGGTTTTACAATTTTCCTGAAAGAGATATGAAACAGGAAAATTCAGGCAACACCTATTTTGCCCATTAATGACAAATAAAAATGCTTTCTTTTAATTTCCATTGTTTGGTCTCTCACTCTTATATCCATCACTTCGTGTAAAAGGACAAGCATTCATTGAAGATGTAGAATGATATTACTGTTTAATGAACTTCTGATTGTACTTTGAGTTGTAACTATTTTCTTGGATTCTCCTGGTGAAGGATGATGCCAATAGCTTTGAACCTTGAATGAGATTCAGAAGAGTTGTTATGGATGACTGTATGTGCTACAATTCAAGGGGAAAAGGGAAGGTTGTGGGTTTTGGTACTGTTTTTTTAACAAGTCAAAGTAGTCAAAAAGTCAGACTACAAGTTACTACTTTTCTTTAAAACAAACAAAAAAAAAGTTATCCCTCATATAATTGCCTGAGTCTCTGCAGTGCCTAATGAAAAAGAATTCAGACCATGAGGGGGAGACATACTGAAATATGCACGGGAATTAGAGCCTTCTGCCTCCTCATAGAAAAACCTCTCATGTTCAAACAACCTGTTTGTCATTGCTAAAAGGATAAATCTCTTTTCCTGCTGTGGTAATGGGAAAAAGGGAAGGCACACGCAGTAGCTGCAAACTTGCGGGCACGTGAGTGTGGGATTTTCCACTGACAGGTCTTCTGTGCTGCTGCTGAATGGGGTATAGACCCTGTGGTCATGCCATAAGCACTACATTCCTCCATGATCCTCCTGGTGCTGTGTCATGGGAATTATGTCCTTTGTTATCAATACAGGCTGTTCTTGTAACCCTTGTTTGGCTGCTTCTTCCAGTGATTTCCCAGACATGCACATTTCCATCCCTGCAGCATTCCTGGAAATCTTTGTATTTCATTCCACAAAGACTGGCCCAGCTGGATTGCTATGGATGTAGTTTGGGGGAAGAGACAGAGTCCTAAAAGAGAGGTTCTGCTGCATCCCTGGGAGGCTTTGCATACATGAAGTTTTCCACATTCCCAAAGTGGTTTTGGTTCAGAAGTCTCATTTTCACATCTCCTGGGTAGCACTTCAGAAGTATAGACTTGTAGGGGAGTCTCAAAATGTGCCTGGGGCTCTTTCCTGCCACTATAGCTTCCAGACCAGGACTGCCTGAGGGAGATGCCCACTTCTGTCCCAGAGCAAACTGAGCACATATCTGCATATGGGTCCAGGACAATTCCGATCATGATTTGTGATGCCAGCTCTCCCTGCTGAAATATTCTCTTGCTCAGCAGGTGTTTTCTTCAGCAAGATGGTGTCTCTGAAGATGATGGTGTTGCATTATCTGGTATTTCTTCTGGACATAGCCAAGGATGAGGAAGAGGATGCAGGTATAACTGTATGTTTGTGTGTGTGTGACAACGAGTGTTTGGAGTGAACTGGGCCAGTTCAGTGGTAGCCTTGTGAAACCATGCCTAGGCTGACACTCAGGCATCCTGCAGCCCTGTCTGTGGGGTTCTGCATGTCCCTAGAACTGGAGAGAGACCCCCACTTGTATGAGGGAAATGCTACATTTTGCTATAGGGCAGTAAGTAGAGATGCAATCCTACTGAACAGGGCGGCTTCTACCCTTGGGTTGAAATCGGGACAAGGGGCATTTATGGTCACAGCAAGGGGATGTTAAAGTCCTCAGGACAGAAATGGCTTTCAGACACAAACAGTGTCTGAAAAGTGACTGCCTGGGCTGCTCACCACACCCTGAGCTGATGGTATTTCATGAGTTGTCCTGGGACAACTGAGCGGCCACATCCTTGGGTTGAACCTTGCTCTGTCCCTGTGACCACCTTTAGCCTCTTTCAGTCCTGTACAATAAGGATCAGACCAACTTCACACAGACCTGGACTTTGCATCTTAGCAGGGAAGTGCCTCCTCTTCCAGTGGAATTAAAAGAAGAAACTGCAGGCTGTTAACATCAACTGGGTCTAATATTTTCTTGGCACAGATTGCTTGGTTTTCCTAAAAAAAAAAACTTCTTAACTATTGTAGCAATTTCAGCAATACACAGATGATCACAACTTTATTAATTTCTCAGCCATTGCCAACAATATTTCCAAACTCTTATCAAAATCATTATTCCCCCTTCAAAGGTAAGTACCTGAATCACCTGAGCCTGCCTTTTCACCATTGTGTGGAACACCTTAATCACAACTGAAATTCCTCTCAAAAATTATGCTAGGATGTTAGTCCTCATCCACTGGCTTTACAGTATTATTTCCTCCATTTTGTTTTGCAGGAGCTTAGGAATCAAAACTGGCAAAAAAATTTTCTAGACCTGCATTTTTAACAGCATTTTAGAAGGACTACTCCTTTAATGATGTGTTGATAGCAACACTTGATTGCTCAGAGTAACTCAAACAACACATCAGAAGCTGAACCCATCTTGCAGTGTCTGAAGAGCTGAAGAAATGCCTCTTCTAAAGCAGCTTCAGGATTGCTGTGTTCAGAGGCATTTGCACAGCCACTGTGGGTAAGGAAACAATCTTCAATGGAATTAAAGCTTCTCTCAAGAGCTGATTGTTTCTTCATCTTAGAGTATAAACACAGACAGGCCTTTGAGCAAATTCTTTCAGATTAAGTCTTTTTGGTGCCTCCTTTAACAAAATAAAAGAATTTTTTTAAAATTCATTTTCCATGTAAATGTCACTCTGAAATTCAAATTAATTTCCCATTGTTTTTTTCTAGAAATGTATTTCTCTGAGAAGAATTTCAAGTTTTCTAGTGTTACAAAGTAAGAATAGGAAAAGTGTTTCCTTTTTTTCAGCCATAAAAATACAAGTATTAAATACTCAGGTTAGTCATATATTTAACTATCTGTCTATACTACAAATTAAAATAGCAGTCTATTTTTTTCTCAGATCACTTACAGGCATGTCTTGGTCAAGGGAATATAATTTTAAAAGTGTGATTGCAGGCAAGGCTATAAAATGAACACTCCAGGAGTTGCAACCCTCTTGCAGATCTCTTATGAGATCAGAAGAGAAGAGCTTAGCTACTTTCTTGACAAAAGATTTCTTCTCTGAACATGTGCATGAACTCTGGCAGCATTATCTTGTCCTGTGATAGGCTTAATCATCTCTGTGGGATCAAAAATGGCTGGTGGCTAAACGAGCACCCTTAGCTGTCCCCTGCCTGCCAGAACTGCACAAGGAAAACTGCAGTAGGAAGTACCAGTCCATTCCTGGAAGTAGATTAGTCTTGTCCACCTTTCTTGTGATTTAAGGATATAACAGAATTTGGAAGAGAGAAGTCATTTTTGGAAGTGGAAATATTAGGCTGGTGTAGGACTCTGTCTGTCCTAAGTCTGTCCAAGACCTTTTCATGCTCAAGACTGTAAAGACCATAAAATGAGTTTTTAAAGTTTGGAGCTGATCTCTTCAGCCAACTAACTAAACCCATGATGATATCAGTGGTATAATTAAGAGACATCCCTATGACTGAACAAAGGGGCTAAGAAGTCAGACCACGCTGATGGTGTGTTTGGCTGGAAGTGACTGCTGGAAAAGAGAAGCGGAAACTTCTTTTTTAATGAAGCTTTTTATTCAATTGTTAAATAGAAAGAGGTAATAACTTAACTCTGCAGACAAAAGGAGAAGTACACCAGATGTATAGAATTTGTACATTTGTATGGCTTGGGGAATAAACGTTTTCAGGAAGATGAAAACTTTGATTCTTAATAGAATTAAATTTCATACTGATCCAAGCCAAGACAGGAACGAAGTAGGAAACACATAATTTCAATATTCACAGAATAGGTTCTTCTTCATTAAGTCAGTTGTGGATGCTAGATCTTCTTTGGGTCCTCACTGTAAAAGAAATGAGGGAATACTTAGCTTTCAGAAGTCTCTGGACAAAGTGTAACATCTCTAAAATACATATATACTAAATCACATTTTATCTGGCAGCTAAGATTGCTTTATATTTGTGGACACAGCAAAGTGGCACATGCAGTTTCTTAATTTTTCTTTCCTTCCATAGCAGCAGTGGACAGAAACAGATATTATAAAGAGACAATGCAAAATTTCTGGTTTGGTTTGGCTATATGGTCAAGTTAGTGCATTTCAGTGGATTCATGCAAACTCTGCATGCTTGTTCTTATCCCATGGCAGATACAAGGCTGCATGACACAGCTGAGCTTCCTTTCCCCCCAACACAAGCTGCACTGCTGTGCAGTTGCCATAGGCTGCAGTCACACACACAGGAATTCCTTTATTCCAGCTGGTACACGCTAACTAGAAAGCCTGTGGTCACATAATTGTTTAGTTGTGGCCTTAGTTCTTAATTAAATGGGACTGAAGAAAATGTGTTCTAGCTGGAAAGGTTCCAGGAATCCTGACCATGGAAATACTGCCTCTCTTCTTGTCAAGGGCCTGGGTGACTTCATTCACTGTAGATCTGTCTCACCATCTGAACTGTGTGATTGAAAACAGCACCTTTTCCAGGGGAATGATATATTCAAATGCTGCATTACGATTTCTTCTCTTTCTACTGTGCTAGTAACACTTGTAGTGTCATTAAATTGATTGCCCTTATTGACACATGCTTTGGAATGGCACATATCTGAGGGAAGGGGAACAGTGAATCACCTGGCTAACACCACTTAACCTGAGTGTGGCCCCATCTGCATGAATGAATAAAAGGGGACAGTGTAGAACTAATCTCTTATGTCAAAAGCAAGGAAGGAAGTGATGACCCTCATGGAGAGCAGTTCTTCAAGTTTTTTCCTGAGTGAACAGAAAGGTTGATTTAGCATGGACTGTTTTCCTTGCCATTCTCCTTGTTCTCAGACTTACCAGCAGTAAACGTGGCTTGGAAACCAGAAGCTGTCTGGGCACCATCTGTGATGAACTCTACGAGCATAAGATTACTGGAAGCAACTATGCCTTTGGGGATCTTTGATCCACAGGTCTTGTCCATTAGAACTGGAGAAGACTTGCTGGATCCATCATAAACTTTAACATAATCACCCTGACAACCTTTAGTTATTTGCAGATTAAAGGCTTGAAAGTACAGGGAAACCTGGAAGGGAAGAGAAAATATATTTTTAATATATAAGTATACTTTCACGGAATGTCCTTTAAAACAGACAGAACCTAAACTTGAGCCAAGCACAGACTATGAGACTAGAGCTGCTTACCCAGCTTTGCCTCTCTTCCCCTGAAGTTGCAGGGTTCAGATCTAATCACTGAATGCTCCCATGCTCAAGGAGCTTTGTCCTGACTTTTCAAACCTGAAGCCCAACTTGTGGAGATTTTTCAAAATCACAACTCTCAATTGTCTTTGTCTACACCTGGCTTTAGCACATACCTCTCTAGAAGTAGAAACGATTCTGAAATTTTTCTCATCTGGTAACTGCTGTACAGAGCACAAGATGCTTAATGTTGAAAGAAGCTCAGCTGTCTTTCAAGACCACTCTTAACCTATGTTTACCTTTCTGGATCGGGTTCGGATGAGCCAGACACAGTTGGTGTTATCTGAGTAATTCCTTGGGTAGTTGGCTGATCTCAGTGACCCAGAAGGTCCATCAAGAATAGTGCTGCAGCGACCTGAGGGAAAAATGCTTGCTTCAGCATTGCAGAAGATTTCATAGTAGTAGTTCATTCACAACTACAATCTCTTCAGAATGGACTGATCTCTGTTTTCTGGTCTATCAGCATTCATTTCAGAGTACTGGTACATCTTGATTAAAAGGAGCATTCATGTTGTCCTAATGTCCTAATATTTCACATAATGCATCAAAGAGGAAAGTAGGGCTCTGAAAATCATTCAATTTATTGATTAGCTCTGTCATTTAGCAAGAGATCTCCTTCTGCAACTCTGTAAAGAGTGAGAGGTTTCAATTCACTGCAGTTGGTGCCACTGTTTTCCATTCAGAAGGGGAAGTTAAGTGATGTCAGAAGAGTCAAGCACAAATATGATGCTTCTGCAATGCTTAAATTCTAAGCCTAGGAGGAGCACTTGGGGTGCAAGAGGTAATACTTTCATCATTTTTTTTCCTTTGATTGAATAAATTTCTGTGATTGTATATAAAAAATTCTTCTAGCAGAGGTTACGTATAAAGAGTTTAAACATACAAACTTAGAATGACAAAACTTTTGAAAACTGGACAAGGCAACATGAAACTGTTCGAGTTCAAAGGAGCATAAAACTATTTTGTTTTGGATCAGGTCTTAAATACCAGCTGCCATGAGGAGTGGTGATATCTGGTTCTTTTGGGATTTATAGTTGTCTGCTGAACTGTAAGAAATCAAATTATTCCATTTAAGTTTAAAATGTGGTATGCAGTTAGTCTAGTTGCACAGCAGCCACTCATGCTAATAGCAAATGTGTTTGATTTAATTTAGAGGCAGTTTCCATTTTCTCACTAATCACAATGTGCCTCCCAGAGTAACCCTAGTGGGTACCAGGAATTCATGAGAATAGTCTCACAGTCTGATGAAAAACTGCTGTCTCTGCCACGTGCCCAGATCTGAGTTGAAGATAACAGGGAGGTCTGGAGATACTTACTGCAGTTGTAAAGTTTGTTGATTTTGGCCACATCCAAGTTGCTCATCCCTTGTCTCTGTCCAATATGTACTGATCTATCAGGAATTGGTACAATAGTTGCTTTCCCAGTGGTATTGCTGAATGTGTATCTGAAAAAACCCATGAGAAACAATGCTCTCTAAGCACCATAACTTCTTTCAGGATTCAGTAGGATGCTGTGACTAATAGTGCTGTTTAAACAGGCCTCATTGAGATGTCCACCAGTAAGCAGAGTCAATGTCCAGATGGCCTCCTTTGCTCCCAAGCCCAGCAGTGGAGAGCTCCCTAATGGTAAGCTAAGGGACAGTGTATCCCAGCCCTAGGGAGCAGCTGGTCTGAACTGACTCACACTGTTTTTCTCAGAAGAGGAATTGGGGAAACTGATAGTTAGGAAAGAGTTATGATAGAAACTAATTCTGATATAAGATTTGAGTTCCTGAAATAGTAATGCCATGCTGCTACTTACGGGCCATAGTGCATTACTGAGGAATAGTCATACGGAAGATCCAGGTTATTGGAGTTTTCAAATTTCTTGAAGTCTGGTCTGTCAGCTGTAATATATGATATTGTACTTAGAGTGTACTTCTTCCCTTCTCCCTTCAGGGGAAAAGGGAGAGCTGGGAGCAGTAGGATGTGTCTATACCACTTCCTACATTGAGGAGTTCAAAGTACTTACGAGGACTGATGTACTCCCACATGATCTTTACATGTTTATCTCTGTCACTTCGAGAGTGCTCATGCAAAAAGCCCAGAGCATGCTCCAGTTCATGCTGAATTACTCCTTTCCACATGCAGCCTCCTTTCATCACAGAGACAGTCTGTCCACCTCCTACTCTCCCATAGTTCGACCAGCAGCTGAGAGAGGCATTGAACAAGACTTACAGGATTTTTATTGGCAGGCAGGCGAAGAGGCAGAACAGAGAACCTCACTTCACACACCTCTTGTGGGAGTGGAAGGATTCCTCTCTCCACTGTGATAGTCAGAGTGCAAAAGTGACCATGGCATATAAAAGAACAAAGTGTATGATCATTGCTAAATGGAAAACTTTTGTTAGCACAGAGGCTCCTGAATTCTGACTTTACCGTGACTTTAACTCTCTTGAAATAACAATTATTTTTTTTTTTTTTTCAAAATACTAAAGACAGTATCAGAGCTGGAGATAACAGTTTCAGGCTAAGTGTTGAACAACTTTCTCATAAGCTCTAATTCTGAGCTTGATGATCAATAGTGTGATTCAGAGAACTGTTTATTTCATAAGTTGGTTTACTTCTGTAGATAGGATCTACAGTACTCAATATATGTTGTGCTGAAGTGTGCACTGTACCACACAGAAAACATGAGCTTAGACATTCTTTCCCCCTTAATGGTGCTTTTCCATGGTTTGTATTATTTCAGTGTCTGCAGTGAGCTCCTGATGTACCTGATGAGCCCTTGCCCTAGTAAGGTACCCAAGGAAGATACCTTGGCACTGTGATAATACAAAAGCTTTTTCTGAGGTCACACAGAATCAGTGTAGGGAAGGATTGAAAAATAGAGTAGAAGTAACTTGTTAATTTATCATTCAACTCACCCATCGGCAGATCTAATACTGAGGTAGTCACGTTCTGCCTTGCGCTCCACAAAATTAATGCAAGTCAGTGCTTCAAATTCTGCCATGGCATCACGAATCCCTTTTACATGGCTCTCCTCTGGGGAAGAAAGGGTTAATTTTAGGGGTCACAAGCACAGATTAGCAGATGCCATTAAAATCTCACATAGTCTCAAAAACAGGATAAATGAGGGACAGAAACATTAGCCTAGGTTCTTATGTTCTTTTTTTGCTCAGTACTGAATTTTGTTTAAGATTTTAACAGCCTGGCACAAGACCCTCTTTATCCAGATATTTGTCCAAATGTATTCAGGTGCCTCTTTTTTCAACTACTTGTTCTTAATTATAGTGGCCATTTTTGATGTATCTTATTGGACACTTGGAGACAATTAAAGGAAGCTGTTTTACTTTTGAAAAGCGGATCATTGAAGCTCTACTGTAATAGTCATGAAACTTATAAAGGAAGGCATTCTGGAAGACAACATTAGAGGGAATGGTTATTGTTGTCTCCAAGAGATCAGTCCCAAAACATGATGCAGGCAAAATGTCTCAATGAATATTTCTGGTTCAGGTCCTTGTGACTTAAAATTTATCTGTACTTGCACAGCACAAGTAAATCCTTAGAACTGATTTATTCAGCTGCTTTTGCGTGCTCACTCAATGTAAGTTTCTCTCTGAAGAATATTGGACAAAACCCATTTAAAAAATAATTTCTACTCAAACCCACCGTAAGCAGGATCCAGTTCGTAGGGAATACGAACAATCCCATCACTGGACTGGGGCCAGTTGCAATGGCGACAGTTGATGGCACTGCGACTCCTCCTTGGAACTATGTCACCTTCCTGCAGGAGCTGGGAGCTATCTAGGGTCAGAGAAAGGATGGAAACATTTCAGCCATAAATTGCTGGACACCTGCTAAGCACACCTGAAAAAACAAGCAGTCTCAATAGTAAGAATGATGCTTTATTCTGGTACTATTTAATTATCCATCATGTGACACTGAATGAATGGCATAAAATATCTCCCCAGGAAGGTGCAGGGCAAAATCAGAAGGTGCCAATAAAGAAACCCAAGAAGGTGGGCAAACCAAAAAGAGGAGAGTTGTCAGGAGAAAACTGTAAGAATATTTGGTGTCTCTCTCTACAGACTACTTAAAGTAAAGTCACTTGAATAACTCTTGGAGGAGGAAATGTGAGGAAAACAAGCTGATAGATCAGGAAATGTTTGGACGGATCAGGGAAGAGGAAGTCGGGAGCAGTGAGAATGGAACTGACTGCAGCTTATCTAGGAGACTAGATAAGCCATATGATGGCTGAGTGCCATTCTTCATTCCAAAAAAAGGCTGTTAAACAAGCATACAAATACCCACATTTTCTCTTTATGTCCAAAGAATGACAAAGATGTTGAAAGCTAAAGCTGAAGAAACTGTCTGAAGTTTTCAGTTGCCTCCACACCTGGGAGCATCAGTACTGACACAATCGTTTGAGATGCTATAGGGCTTCAGCAGACCACACCATAATCCCAGTGGTATCTCTTACATGGTGATGTGTAAGATGGGAAAAACATTTGCACAGATTGTGGTAAGACATGGTACCTCCCACATCACCCTAAATAAGCAAAAAAGACAGCTCCCTTATAGACAGGAATTTGGTGGCATTACCTTTGTTAACTTTCAGAATTTTGTTAAAAATATCTTCGTCCTCCTCATCAGTCTCTGTAGGTGAAGGAGATTCTGTGCAGAAACACAAGAGTATCACTTTCTCATTCCCAGAGGAAATATTAATCCTGACTTTTTACTCTGATGATGCATGATTTTTCCAGTGACGCATGCAAAACTTACAGAGTCTATTTAGGGACTGGAGGGATGTTCACTCATGTAGATGTTTGTTCACTGACAACCTTGAGAACCTCCTAGCTGTGGTTATTTTGGCATTAATCTAGTCCCAAGAGCCATTCTCCTTCAATTATTTCATTCTCTCTTTTTATTCTTTTCCTAGCCATCATATTTTTAGGTCTGAGATGGCACAGTTTTACTTCTTTATGAACAACTCACACTCAGATCCCCAACATAAGATACCAGAAACAAAAATGGATGGAGAGCAGTCCTGCTACTTCTTGCCAGACATGATGACCTCCTGAAAAACCCTCAAAATCAATGAAACTGGAACTACATTCCTGTTCCATGGGTTGGACTGATGTCCCCATCTAAGCCCAGCATTGGGGACTCATAGGCCTTGCTAGCAAAATCAGCCAACTCTGTGCATTATGCAGCAAGTCTTGACATCAATAAAAAGCAGAAACATGTGACCTCTGTGCTTCTAACCTTTGGAAGTGGCTTAATTCAGGACATGAATTAAGCAGAGCTATTTTTAGCAAAAGTAACAGCTGAGGTTTTTAGCAAGGCCAAGAAATTGGCCAAGACCAAGAGACTTTGCTTTGCATGAAACATTGTGGCGAGTGCATTTATTTGAAATTCCTCATAAAGGTTAATTTGTATTAAGCCTGTGTTATTTTCTGAAGTAACTGAGTAGATAACAATCAGTATATCCCCTCAAATATGTATTTGTAGATGGAGTAGTACATACCATATATATTCTCCTGCGTAGTAACCTGCAAGGACAATACATTAATATTATCTCACAATTTATAATGTAACATTAAATCAAATAATAAAACAGATAAATTATCAACAGCATCCAGGCTACCATTGGCATCTTTCACCAATGCAGCTTTTATGTACTGTGCCATGTGCAAAGAAGTACCATGGGGTGGTAGATACTCTTCTTTGGTACCCTGGCAACTAGGGGTATCATAAAGGCAAGTGCAATATGAAGTGTGGAATAAGGTTCAGATACACTCTGATGCACGGTTGAGCAGAGAAAACTTTGCTACACAGATGTAGATGCAAGGGGAGTCCAAGAGTCCTGGCCTTACTTTCCACAATCTTGAACCCCAAAGTGATCAGAAGGGCTGAATTAGCTTTCCTTACCTCAGTAGGCTCTGTTGCTGCAAAAAGACAAAAAGACAAGCATCAGACTCTGAATGCAACTTCTCAGTGTGAAACAGCATGGATGCACCTCCTCAGCCATGGGAATGCCTTTGGCAGGTCCCTTGGAGGAGTGGAGGAGAATGGAGTACACCAGCTAATGCATAGGCACAGAAATTAAAAAGATATTTAATTAAACAACTATGAAAATTCCTAGTAGATTGTGCTGAGGAACAGAATCCTAAAAATTTACCATCTAAGAATCAGTAAAGCATTTTATCAGTTTCAGTGTGGAAAATTGCAAAAGAAATCAGTGACAAAAAATGCTTTGTCCCAAGCTTTCTCTGCAACAGGTGCAGGCTAATCAGCTCAACAATATCCTCTGGTTTCAAAGTGTCAAACAATAAGGTTATAACATGTGATGGGGGCTATAATTTAGCATGTGGAAAATAATCTCAGCTTCAGTATGCACCTGACAGCAGCTTGGTACCATTCTGAGTTCTAAGGTGCCTTTCTACTGTGATGCCTTCTGATTTTTACCAAATATGAGATTCTAGATACAAACCAGAAGTGAAAATCTGACCTGATGTATACATTTTTATCTTCATTTTTATAATATCAAAAAAGTTTAAAAGTTGGAAGTGCCTTCAAAGGTCATCAGTTTGTCTGCTTTCCCTAAGGCAGGAACAGTTTTATCTGCATTATTCCTGACCACAGTTTGTTTGACCTGTTCTTAAGTATGATGGATATGCTGCAAGCTTATCTGGCAATCTCTTCCTGTTTCCTAATAATTGCAGTCTTCCTTGTCAAAGTATGAAACAATTTTGTTTTTCCTAGTTAACACTGAAACAGAGAATACTCATGTAAACAGTTATTATTTCCAAGCCCATCTGTGCCCCAAATTTTACTATAATTTTTCTCAGTAAAAGATATACTAAGCTCTATCACCCCTTGTGGCACCATTCCTTTTTCATAATTATTGCTCAAAGGCAATGAGGAGATGTCTTCCTTTTCAGACTCCATCTAGCATCCACAACAGAATTGCTTTTATTGAGCTAAAAAGACTTCAAGTCTGTGTTTTCAGGCTGTTACTTCAGTTATATGGCAATGGAAGTCCACTGCAACGACGGTGGTTTATTATAGAAAAATTTGGTCAGTTCCCACCAGCTGCATCAGAGAGATCCATGGCATCTAAAAACATTCTGCAGGGAAGAACATTTTTGACAGATCCAGAATTTATGTACCCAAGAGGCACTAGATTAATTGAGTAGTCAAAGTCAGTGGAAATTAGGCCCCAGATTCCTAGGCACATAAAGCCTGCAACTTCTTTTTAAAACCCAAATGAGACACCACAGAAGGCGTCTGCCATCTCCTTGATGAAATGAACATCTGGTGTGATAGGGCTCTCAAAATTATACAGCTCACATTTTCCCTACACTCTAAATACTGAAAGATGTCTCAAAAAGCACAAAAAGCAGTAACAATGATAAATTAAAACTCATTGCATGCATTTGTCCCAATAAACCTGCAACTTTGAATCTGAGCAACTGACTACCTTGAACTTGAGCAAGAGTGTCCCTTGGTCCCTTCTAAACATACTGAGCAGTAATTTTACAACATCCCATGCCATAAATGACAGTTCAAAAGCAGAATTTGTCAATGTTCTTTTGTCACTGACTTGCTCTATGTCAAGCAAATTTTTCCAAGGTGTCTTCTCTTTGTACACATTACACCGAGCCTGTTCTTGCTGTAGTTAAAGTCTGCCTACAGTTTTCTTTCCATTGACCTCTGAAGGTCTGCAATTATCTCCTTGTATTTTGCAAGTTAACAAAAGCTGTTCAGCTAAGCCTGTTCTAAACCAGAACAAAGCAAAGCTTTCTTTGATGCCTGACATCTTTTTCATACAGCTGAACCCAGGTAGGAAAGGAGGCAAATGATTAGCAGTTTTATTATAACATTCAACTTAATGAAAAGGTATCAGGATGTCTAATTAAAATTTTATTTTCAAGCCTGTGAAAGCACATCTAAATTAACCTAATAAACCATGCCCCAAAGTCTGTGTAAAGCACATCTTTGTAAAAACACATCTGTTCTCAGCTCAATAACAAGTTATGAAACATGGCCTTATTCAAAAGGCCTGTCAGTGCTTTCACATGCTCTAAAAGCAAGTCAAAACCAAGAATGTAATAAACAGTCAAGAAATAACAGGTGCTTTTAAAATACACTACAAATCCTACTTACTTGTTGTGCTGTTTTCATAGTTGTCCTGCAAAATCAACAGGTAAAAGGCATTATTCTTCCATAGCTGACAAATACAGCAACAATAGCATCAAAACCAGGATGAATGGAGGAGCCAAATCATTATATTGCCTTTATTTATTATGATATTACTAATATTTTCTTGCAGAAAATTTATCAAAGTGGGCCTCCACGGCTTCACTCCAGGAAGAATAGACCAGCTAGGTGATGGGGCACAATTGCAGGGAGCTGCTCTCACCTGAATAGGGAAGGCCAGGGCGGCGGGCAGCAGAAGCGCAGCGAGGACCCAGCACCGCTTCATCTCCATGGCGCAGCGCGGAGGGAGCAGCGTGCGAGCCCTGCTGCCTGCCCCCGGCAGCGCTGCCGCAGATATAGCGGCGGAGCCTGCTCGGCCCGGGCTGGGAACCCTGCCCCAGCCAATGGGAATCCCAGCAGGAAGCAAACTTCTTTTGCTGTCTCCACAGCAGGTTTAGCCCCTGGGCATCTCCCGGTGCGGCGCTATCGCCGCCGCCGTGAGCATCCCTAGGCCGCCCAGGGCCATTCGTGCTGCTCTCGAGAGCTGGCTCAGCCTCATGCTTGTGCTGCCGCGCATTTCCTCTGCTTCTTAGAGGATCTTTCCTGAAATGTTCGGTTTGACTGTTACCACCCTTGTTCCTGGATAACTCTCCAGAGAACTGGATTGTTAGGATTTCAGAGGCTAGGTGACTTTTTTTCTTTATGTCGCTGAGATTACAGAAGGCCGTGACACTATTGTGTTGCTTTGAAACATAGAACATGTCTACCCAGTGAGCTTATCAATGTGTCTTCCCTAAGACAGCTTATGGTTCTATACGTACAGATTTTTGTTTTTTCCTGTGTGTTTCTTGATGTTTCATCATGCTAGGAGCATCTCGTGTGTTTCTGTAGTCTGACAATTATAGGTGCCCTTATGAGTTCTGTGACCAGCAATCAGAGAAGGGGAAAAGAGAACAGCAGCATAAGCAGCACTTACTCATTCTGAGAATGATTAACAGATTTGCTTTGCTGGAGTGCACTTGTCCAGAAGTAGAGGGCCGTTGTCTAGAGCAAGCAGTGAGCAGATGTAGCAAGAAATGCTTGTAGGAGGCAAACCAGCAACCACTGAGCCTCTTATCACAGCAACCTCTTCTCACAGCAAAGCTCTCTTACTGAACCACTTGTGAAGCTGCTGTAGCTGGGAAAGCGTCTGGTCTCTGACACACTTTTGGTTTGTGTCAGAGTACATTTTCCATGCATGGAAAAGGAAACTGAATTATAAAACACACTGATTTTGTCTCTAGACCATGGTGGTGCTCAGATTCCCTCAGAGTAAGTTTGAAACCCACTTATTCCTTATTTCTGTACTGAATAAGAGGTTCTAGATTTCTTCATGTTGGTCAATCAAGAAGCAGCAGAAGGCTTTCCATCTATTTTTCTCCAAATCATACCCAGTCAAGAGTAGGAATTAGATATAAATGAAATCTGAATTGTGTTGGAGGCATCCATCACTCTTTATTTTAGTGATAGAAAGTTATGGTGCACGCTGCTGACTATTTTAGGAAAGTCTGGATTGGCAAAGTCCAGGGATAAACTTTGAGCACCCCCACGGGGAGGCAGCACAGGGGGATATTACTCTTCCTTTTCTGTGTCTGCACACCGGCTGAAGGAAAGGCTGCCCCAGGCACCGGTTAATAAACAGCAGGGTGGCACATGGCCCTTGTGGCCATGAAAGAGCATCAGCATCAGCCATTGTCAGCATGTTAATCCTGTTGTGTGTCCTTTGTGCACATAAATGTTCTCAATAAGCAATGCTAAGTGTCTTTTTCTAATATTTGTCTTTCAGAGGGATGGAAATCTTCCTTGTGCTAAAGCAAAGCTGTGCAGCTCTGGTCTGCAGTGGGAGAATGTTTCTCCATGTTTCTCACTCAATGTAAGGACAAAACAAAAGTCCATGATGCCAAATACTTTGGCATGCCAAAACCACACTGCAACATGGAACTTGAATATAATCTGCTTTCAATAGAGTTTAGGAGGAAAAAAATAAAAATCAGACCACTCCCAGGTGGGAAAACCAGTCCAGGAGCAAAAGGAAGGATCAGAGGTAGTGAGGGGATTAAACAAACTTAAAAAGCAAGATAGGAAGGTTGGTAACCTCAGCATCTTTGTAGCATGTTATTGGGAAGATACTACTCCTGAATGACTGATTACCTGCCTGTGCTCAGGAAAGAGTGAGGCAAAAAGGATGCGGCACGTTTTATCCTGGGTGTGTTACTATGCTGACAAACTAAACAGTTCATGAAATAGATTGCTGCATGCCATGCTTTCCATAACCTAACAAATAGTGCTGAGGGGGGAGGTGGCTTTTTGGGTCTAAGAATGTGGCTGTAAATGTTGCAGCTGGCAAAAAAAAAACCAAAAAACAAACCACATAAGAGAGGGAGAGGGATGAGAGGGAGTGCTGGTACTCATGGTTCCTACCAGTTCTGAAGATCTTATCACCTTGTGCCTCTTATTTAGATTCAATATTTGGTTATTTTCCAATACTCATGGGGGAGGCATTGTCAGCAGACCTGTTTTCACTAATCAAAATACACTCTAATTTATTGAGATATTGCATTAACAGGACACAGCTTTACTAGATTCAATGAAGCTGGTACCTCTAGTAAAGAAAATGCCACAGAAATTGTTTTGAACCCTTAGGAACCAAACAAGGACTTCACAAAGAGAGGCTGTCTTTGCATTTATACAAGAAAAGCATGTGGGAAGTTTTGTCAGACCCAAGTTCTCCTCTTAGTATATCCTAGTTTCTGGTGGACAGTAGGGATTCCACAGATTTTGAACATCTGAATAATTATTAGCAGATGTCCAAAACCAACATCAGAATCTCAAGAAGTACTTGAACAGTGTCATAGTCCACAAGCAGTCTCTCAGCAAAAAATAGCACTGCTCCTAAATGAACACCACAAAACTTGGAGTTATGCCTGTTAGACTTGTTTGCAGAAATCTGTAGGCATAACCAAGAAAATAATATACAGACACACCAATTAAAAAAAAAATTTCTCTTTTGATATGGGAAATTCACTGCAAGTATATGTAGTCAAAATCAAAACAGCAGATGCATGAAAGATACAACAACTCTGCAAAAATCTTTCAGATTTTGCTCAGTCATATGTCATTTAGTCATATGTGTTATTCTCTTTGGAGTCTTTCACTGTAAACAGCTCCCAAAGTATAACGTAAACCATCACAATTTAATTATGGAAAGAAATTGCACTAATTGCTACTAATTGCTGTGCCATGAAATGCAGGGAAAAAATAATTCCAGGAACTAATAGAAACCTTTATGCCAAACAGCTTGTGGAAGTTATGTGATAGCTACCATAACTGATTCATGGTAATATACTAACTAATCTTGAAAGTTTAAAATCATCTGGCTTTACTAAAACCAACCATTGAAGCAATGGTATAGACCACAACACATAACTGAAATTGCTGTGGATTGGCATCACATGAATAAACACCACACAATTACATATGCAATCTGGGGTTAATGACAAATCTGAACCAGGAATATATTATTTTAGGTACAATTGCTCAGTATCATTTTCCAAGAATGTCTGCTTTGTGCAACATTTCAGTATTTTGGCTCACTTTCATTTGGAAAAGGAATTCTGGTTTCCACTGAGCTCTTGGTTCATGAATTCTGAACCCCCATCCTCCGGCCAGTAAATCTGCTCCTGTGCAGTGCTTTCAGCTCAGTGCATTTGTCTTCTTCTCACTAATTCCAAGTGCCCTAATCACACAGAAATCACTTCCTTTTCTGTGCTGTCTTTATGATCAGACACTTTTCAGATATAAATCAGTCCCCACACAAGCTTTCTCTGTGCTGGCTTAAAGGACTTTCAGCCCTTTAGTCTAATAATTCCACTCTTCTTGATTCTACAATTATATTTTCATTCCTTCCAAGTTGCCTGTACCTTTTTGGAGTGCAGTGATTAGGAGTGGGCAATTTCAGAGGAATTAATGCCAGCCAGTACTGCACTTTGCTGGTTGAGAGTATTATTGAAGTGCTGGCAGCTCCTGAGGGTTTCACAAGTAACCAGCACAGACTTCAAGTCCCTGTGTTGGAGATTGACATGTGTTACAAAAGACAGCTCTAGACAAGTCAAAGTGGAGTTAGAAGCTGTTTCCCAGTGCCCACAACCATACTTGCTGCATTCATAGATTTATTTGTCCTTCACATCCCTCTCCACATTTCTTCTTTGGATCCTACCTCCCAGAGAAGACCTGGAGTTTCTTGGGTTCCTGTTCCACTTTCTGTTTTGCTTTCCATTGTTGGGTTTTCCATGTCATTGCTAACACCATCTGGAGCAATGAATCCACATGATTTGCAGGTTCTTTAACAGAACACTGACACATCCTCCATGATATTAATGACTAGCTCCAGCTGCAGTCCTAGCCTGTTTATTGAAAGAATTCAAACCTAAAATGTTCAACATTGGCTTGCTATTGGTTAGCCACTTCTCTATTCAAAGAGCCAAACCTAGAAACTTTGAACTTTAGACTGTTGTCAGAAGAAGGATAATGAAGAAAAAGATTTTGTTTTTGACAGGTTCCTCTTTTCAAAAGAAAAACATGGAGATAGAAAAAAAAATAGTAAAGAAACAAGTTGGAATAGTAAAAACGTTGTAACCTCTAAAATGAAAGTTGAAAACATGTTGATTTTAATTTCAAAATCAGATTTCAAGGCCAAATTTAGCAAAGCATAATTTAGCAATTAAACTAGCATTTGTAATGATATGTGATCCAATGGCTATTTGGGCTGAGGGAAGGAGAATGGAAACTGGAACTTTAATTTGGACAATTCTAATAATGAACTTCTGATTGCCTTGAAAAAAACAAATTCCTTTCTTTTATCAGGAGAAGCCATCTGATTTGTCTGCTGCCCTTAGGTGAAGAAAGGATGGATCAAAGGGTTTACACTGTATTTCCAGCCTGCAGAGCAATGTTATGCTGATTACAAAGGAATCCATGTGATGGGGTAAGGTGCAAGCTGTTTGAGCAGTGCCTGGGGTCATTTTTGGTCCCTCTGCCCTCTGAAGGGAGACACCCAGTGCTGCCCCAGCTGGGGTGATCTCCTTGTGACAGATTATGCAATGCCAGCCAGCTTCCCTGCTTGGTTTGATCTCCTGGGAGCAGAAGTGTCCTTTTGCCTACAGGGAAAATTTTGCTTACAGTAACCATGCCATGAAAGTTACCCTTGTGAGTGCTTGCTTGGCAATTTAACTAAGGCAGAGGAAATGTCTCATG